CTACAGTGCATTGATGATTCTTTGAACGGCACCGCGCTGCAACGATGGAACAATCTCCTACTCGAGGGTGTAAGCAAGATGGGTAAGAACGGCCTAGCATGTGCCAAATACAAAAGCCAGATGATCGAAGCCGGATTTGTTGATGTGGAGGAGAGGAAATATGTACTCCCCGGAAATCCATGGGCGAAGGGTGAGGAACAGAAAATTCTGGGCACTATGCAGATGACAAATATACTCGACGGGCTGCACGGTTTCTCGATAAGTGTGTTCACGAAGGTTCTGGGCATGTCCGTAGAGGAGGTTGAGTTAATGTTGGTAGACGTGAGGAGGGACTTGAAGGATCACAGTATACACTTTTACTATATCGTGTAAGTGCCTATCCTTTCCCGCTCCTGGAATGATTGTCTCTGGTTGACAGCGTAACATTGCGAAAGCATGTCGGTCTTTGGAAAAAGACCTTAGTAATGTTCGCGACATTTTTGTTGAGCGTAGAGTGGTCGACAAATATTTTGCCTTAACGTTATTTCTTAAAATATTATATCTTCAGGTTCGACTGCTGCCTTTAAGGCATTCTTATACATCTCAATAGGATCATATGCTTTTGCGCTGGTCGAATTGTCCAAAGTTATGGCCGTAATTTCTCCACATGGCATATCAAAGAGTGAGACGGTATCTTGTGCTGTGGCAGTATTATCTCGACTCACATTTCTGATTTCAGTCTCGTCTGGAGAGAATTGTGCTACGGTAGCTTGAAGCGGGGGACCTTGCATAGTACCGATTGGACTGATGGGGCAAAACGGCGGCATTGGAAGACCTCTGAATCGGTCCATGAAAGAAGAACAAAGCTTATCAGAGCCTTTTGCAAGGCCTCCGTCTCTGAAAGAGGGCTGAGACTGTGAATTCGAAGTAATGTATGAACCCATGTCTGTGCCGAAACGAAGTACGACCTTATGGCACCCAGGAAGGAGAATATGGTCTTGAGATCCTCGATAAAATCATTCAACCTCTGCTTGTCCGTTTCGGCTTGGAGTTGATTTAGGAAAATAAGTCCCGCAAGGAACATGCTATATCCTAAAAAGGGCGACTGCACAGAACTTTAGATAAACTCTCATTTGTAAGTGAATATAGACGGGTTAGGATACGTACCATTGCGAAATCAAAGTCTTCCATGAGCAATCGACAAAGCTTGGCGGGCATCGTCGGCAAAGGCAGTTTGCATCAGCGGCCCCGTACAAGATTCATGTCTCGAGTATGCTATGCTGGCGGCACATATGGCGTGACAGAGATGCCTAGCCACCTTTCCATTCTCCAACTGACATAGGAAGGCCGCGGGCGACAGTATAGGGCACTGTTGACATTGACTATCACGTAAAATATCAAGATTAGATGTAATGTCTAATCAACAGACACCTTAAACTCGCTAATTACTTCAGCGTCAGTGATGAAAAGTCATAAGCAATGGGACGAGATAAGGTTAAGTAATTTCTTCGAACCTATTCAGTTGATAGCTTTCGCCTCTATACAATGCAACCAGTTGAGATCTCCAGGATCCCATTGTGTCTATGCATAGAGGCGAATCTTCCTGTGCCCTCTCATTTTGGTCGGCCTGTGTAGGGTGGTCTTGTTGTACCATGTCAACAGACCTCAAGGTTAACTCCGGCGCGATGGAGGAAGTATGTGGGTATTCATCACCATCCGTTGTGCGTTTTGGTCGAGGCCTACGCCTTCGTCAATGAAGATCGAACTGGGATGGTATCTTTTGCTTCACGCAGTGGCTACACATACTTGTTGGAGTGCCGGAACAGCGGACCTGTAGCGTCATTAGCAGGATAGTAGCATTGACCAGTGATGTAAACTTAGCAAGTATGTTGTGATGCCACAGAGAAGATCAGCCTCAGGCTAATGAAACCAGTTGATCCTTTTTGCAACAAAAAGGCCAAATGAAAAGCCACTCGTGGTGACGTACATGCACAAGTCAGAGGGTACATTCTCGTTGCCTCCAACTCCTGTATACGAATGTGACGAGACAGGCGTGGTGCTAGATGGAAAGCTAACTATAGAAGATGAGAATGGTCACACCGTTGAACTCAAATCGGGCGACTCTTTCTTTGTCACTCGGGGAAGCAAGATCATATTTGGATCTCAAAGCACTGCATTGGTTGTCAGGGTTGCAGGAAGATATGATGGGGAAGGCTGGGGCAAGTATGACGAAGGTCTTTGACTTTGTTAGTTGCTCTTTGTAAGCATGCTCTCATACATTCAAGAATTAGCAACTAGGGCAGTGTGTTTGAGAATTCTGCCCGCCATTATAGTCCTATCAAGAAAACCCGTCCAATGGTCGAAGTAGACACTGCTGACTAGTGAGTTGGGAGAGCTTGGTCTTACCCCTGCAAGTTATCAGGTGACTTTTTTGCTACTACTTGTTTGCTTTTCACTCGCTTTACTCAGCTACTATCACCTACAATACAAGAATGGCTATCCATACATTCTCGGTACTTTCTTACGCCCTGGAGGCTTGGATTTATATGTGTGTCATGTGATTGAATAATGTTGGCCACAGATGAGGTTTATAATTTGGCCGGTTTGTTCTTTAAACTGGCCTCCCATAATTCGAGCACCGAGTTTTTACAGCTGTCTAATCTCGTTTGTGTTGTCTTGTACAATCGCGGTATGCTAGTGCTTTCAAAGCATGACCCTTCCACGACCATAGAAGCAATTCCTTTAGAGGACAGAAATACTTGTGGCATGCCGTGACCGGAGAATCCAGCAATGATAAATTGATTATCTCGGCCGGGGATTGCGCCAATGTGAGGAACGTTATCAGTTGAGTATCCCATGACTATTGAGGATCAGTCATCCAACATAGACAGCGCAAAGGGAAGTCAGAACTCAAACTCACTGCCAGTCCACACAGCTGATGTCTTGGCTTGACTATCTACCCATCCTCGAAAATGCCTCTGCATGTAATTATCAAAGTAGTTTTTGGCCTTGTCTATTAGCTTATCGTCATTGACATTGTTGTACCAACACTCAAGGTCTTCCAGGTACTCCGACCGAGCGCCGCCTACGACAATGCTCCCGTCGAGACGTGGAACGAGATACTCATATGCCGTGGGTGAAGAACGGATAATGTAAGAATTGGACAAGGTTGGCGCCGGCTGTTGTCCCGACACGATATGACTGCAGATGCCTCTCACCGGCACGATCTTGTCTACATATTCAGGTAAGATAGCCGATGTATACGCATTAGTGGCATAGACAATTTTCTTGGCCCGGATCGAACCTCTCTGTGTAGTGAGTGTTAGATAGCCCTGAGCATCGGGCTCTCTCGTCACGGCAGTGACAGGAGTATTCGTCTGAAGATTCACACCGTGGTCTAGAGCTCGGGAAAGAAGCCCATGAACTAATTTGTATGGGAAAATGTGTCCTGCTGTGTAGGTGAAGCAACCCTTGGCACCCTTCACGCCAGAGAGCTAAAGAAGAGTCAACATTTCTACAGTTGCAGGATTGAAAAGAGCCTTACTTGTTCTGCTTCTGGTCCTTCGGCAAAGTGGACGTCGTCCATAACAGATAGTTTCTTCTTCCTCAACATTTCTACGCCAGCCTTCATATATCTGAAGATGTCGTCCGTCAATAATACGTCACAACAACGAGTCATGACAAAGTCACAATCTATCCTCTCTTCTTCCACCACCTTCTTGATGGCAGGAAGATGCGCAGCCTCAAAGTTAGCACATTCCGACGCAGCTTCAACGCCATGAGTTGTGGCAATTGTAGCAGGACGGTTGTACGGGTCAGGCTTCAAATGGCCGCCTACATTGACTTATCAGTCTTGCTTGGCTCCAGACAAAGGGAGACCCATATACCATTGCGGCCGGTAGCTCCAGAGCATGCTTCACGGGCCTCAAGGATTACGATTGATGGTCGCGGAGCTCTACGCTGGTCGCAAAGCTGCAGAATGTGGTATACTGTAGATACTCCCGCATAGCCTGCACCAACTACGGCGATATCGACCTCAGTAGGAAGGTGTGGAGTACTCCGGTAGTTGTCCAGTGGAAGCGGCTCTGACCTCCAGAATGAGGTGGTGGATTTGCTTACGGGAAGCCGAGATGCAGTCATGATGGCTCCGATTAGGCTTGGCGATTTCGGCAACTTTTGCGACCCGAAAGGTGTTTGAAGAGAGCAAACTACTGATGTTCACTTTAACCTTCAAGCTTCCTGTTCGCCCGCGATATATCCAATTCCCTCGGACAGTGTTGACCTTGTCACGATAGGGTATGTCGTATCCAAAGTGCCGATCGCACCCCAACCCTTATGTGCCGGTCCCACTAAGTACACTCTCGTGCACCGGGCCGGGTATCTGCATGACACCGATCCGGTGCTGGTGGGCAAAAGATCGACAATCCCTGGCCGAAGTATCGGTCAATTCCAACTCCATTCAGGAACCGATAAAGTGATGTTGTTAGACGTGACTGACTGGTGCACTTCTAGGAACGTCGATGTTTCAATCTAAATATTGCTTTATTGTGACTTGAACTGGGTCTGTTTGCGATTTGAGGCCAGCACGATAACATGGTTCATTACCCTCAGGCAACTCCTTAAAACCCTGTCACGAACTATGATTGCATGACCCAATAGCATTCTGTCTCATGCTAGCTTCACTGGTCTCAACATATCACTTTATCACTGTACATTTGTGCTATTTCTAGACTATCTATTTTGCAGCAGCAATAATCTTGTCAGCCATGGCAGGAAGTGTGTCTGCAACAACGTCCATGTCTCCGAAAATTTCATGCATCGGATCAGACTCCAGAACAGTACAGTATGCGCCTCGAAAACTGGGCAACAGACATATGCATTTCCCGAAAGTTGCCCTGAGCAATTGCCTTTGTCGTGCATTGACCTAAGCTGGTGCTACTTTAACCTGAGCGTAGGGTGAGCTGGCACTCGCCTCAGGCCCAGATCAGGAGCCCATTTTTTGTCCACCCTGGCTAAAGTTGCTATCTGCCAAAAATGGAAACAACCATCCTAGCAGGTTCGGGCCCATCCTCCACCACCTCCTCCTGCACGACGACGGCGCTGGAGCGCTTCCTCCCTCCCATCAAGTCTACAGCAGGGCGGCCCGCCGCCGGGCCCTCGGTCCAGCGGTCCGCGCGCGCCTGCTGGGTGAGCGCCTCGTCCACAACGGCCTGGAGGGCACGATACGGGATCTCGAGGGGCGAGCAGGGGAGGCTGCGGTGGAAGTCGGACAGGTAGAGGCGGAGATGGCGGCCGGCGCGGGCCGCGGCGCGGACGTCGACGTCGTCGGCGGGGTGGGCGACGCCCCACTCGGTGCAGCTGGTGGCGAGACGGAAGAGGTGTAGGGAGATGGCGGGCGGCGCGTGGCCGGGCGGTGCGAGGAGGCGCTGTTGCAGGCTGCTGTATTCGATGTTGAGGAGGAGGACGGCGCAGACCTGGCCGGCATTGGAGGTGAGGTATTCTGTAAAACGAGTCGGTCAGTCAGTCAGTCAGTCAGTGAGCCTCGAGCATGAAGTTGGTTGGTAGTCGGCGACAGGGCCAGGTTTCATTGACTCGCTTTGTTCTGTAAGGAGAAGGTGTGTGTTACTCACTCTTGGCAGTGATCGAGTCCATCGGGGTAGAGAATCCAATCTCGATGATGAAAGGCGGCAGCCAGTTGTACCCATCTACCGCCTAGGTGATGAATTGATCGGGCGTCTTTCGCGAATTGGGACCAAGCAAGTGCAGCGGAACGTTGGCTGCACAGATGAGCTTTTCTGCCACCGAGGGCGAGACGGACACATGGTCGTCGTCACCGCCGTCGTCGTCACCATTGTGGTGGCGGAGGCCGAGCACGGAGGCAGCAAGATTGGCGAGGCGGTTGTCGTCGAGCAGGAGGAGCTCTCGCACGCGTGGCAAGATGACGTCGGCCGCTACTGCACTGGCTGTGGCGGCGTGGAGTACCGACTCAGCCGTGTCGATGGTGAAGGCGATGCGACAAGCCTCTGGATCGTAGTCGTGGGGAGGAGCAACTTCGAGAAGCAGGGGGCTGGTGTCAACGTTGGTGCTGTCGACGGAGTGGATGTGGAGCTGGAGGCGGCGGTTCGCATCGCGGCCCAGGCCTAGAACGCAAAGATTAGGAATGGTAAGGCTGACGGCCAAGTCAAAGTTGCATGGGATGGGATGGGACATCGGCAGGCAGCACTCGACTGCCCCGAGACCAGCTTTACACACCTCGAAAAAAAGCGCCCTCCCGCAGCTCGCCGAGCGTCATAGTTTGGAGACGGCTGTACTCGAGCTCCTTGAGGATGGCATCGATCGTCGTGATGCTTCCTGTTCCTGCTGTGACAGAGCGCTCCACCCTCATCTTGGCCTTCCTCATCATCGCAGCACTTCCGCCGTCATCACGGCCACGGCCACGGTCACCGTCATCATCACCGTCATCACCGTTGCCACTCCCGGCCTCCTCCTCCTCCTCGTCACTGCTGCTGCTGCTGCTGCTGGACCCGGAGCCGGAGCCGGAATTGGTAGCATGGTTGATAAGGGCGACAATAAGAATAAGCACATGTTGTAGGTTGGGGGAGAGATCGCTTCCCATTCCAATTCCGTTGTTAGTAATGGGGGAAGCGGAGGCGGATGATGGTCTGGGCTTGTCAGCAGGTCGCAGAGGTGCAGGTGCAAGTGCAGATACAATCGCAGCTTCCTCCAGTGCTGTCCCAGCCGCATCTGTATCTGCATCTGCGTCTGCGTCTGCATTTGCGTTTGAGGGTGGCGCAAGTGAAACCATCACGGAATCATGTCTCTCTTTGTCGCTGCTGATGGTATCTTCTTCGCAATGCGAGGGCAGAGAAGTGCACGAGTAAACTGATGCAGCGCAGATTTCTCTTCTGTTTGGCACTCTTTGTGGCTGCTGTGTTGTCGCGTGAAAGGAACAAGGCGAAGAAGCGCGCCGCCAGTTCGCGAGGCGTTGGTGGATTGGGATGAGTGGGATGCGTGGATGACGTATGGATGACTCAGCAAGACAAGCCCCCCTCCCCCTATTTTATATTCTTTGTTCCTTATTTTGTTCTGAGGACGCCAACTCAGACTCAATTCAAGTGCGTTTCCTCTACACATCTCCTCTCCCTAACTCCCCATCCCCATCCCCATCCCCAACCTCGTCACTGTTATGGTCTACTTGTTAGGTACTCTTACTAATAATAATCCCGTCCTCCCCTATCCAGCTTCACGACGAGACGAGACAAGATGCTTGATGCAGCAAGAGCATGGTTGGTTCCGACAGCAGCAGCACTCGGCGCTGCACCTGGGCTGGGCTCACACACCCATCCCCACTCCCATTCTCAATCCCCCATCCAAATGACTACCAGGCTCAGCTCCCAGGCCGCTAGTGAGAAACGCGCCCGTCGTGGCTATGACGAGGGTTATAGAAGGATTCATGTACTTGACTGTTGGCGGGCCTTTGCTCTCCGACAATTACATAGCCTTTTGAGTTGAGCATGGCTAGCTAGCCTCTGTCACTGCACTTATAATCATTGAAGGAACCTGGATGGAATCGTGTCTTCAAATAGCAAGAAATCATGGCTCATGTCTCATGTCTCATATCTCAGAGCTCTCCTATCGTATGGTTTCTGCATTTGGCTGTTGGCTCTTTGCTTCAAAGAAGGCATGGAAAACACTCTGGTTTTCGACTTCCAGCTCCCTCCTCGACGATAATCGCATTGAAGTGTATATATTGTTACTGCAACGAGCATCTAGAACAGATTTTAGACGCTTGCCTTCAAGCTCCAGACTTCCCATGAGCCATTCTTGAAACACCAGCACCAAAGCATCTGGCTGGCCTCTCTAGTAGTACCAGTAGTAGGGCGTAGGTTCTCCGTAGCTAAAGGCCCCCAATTGTTGACGGCGTCTCTCCCTCTTCAATGTTCCCCCGGGCGTCCAGCCTCCCACCTCCCCGTCCCCTTCCCTATTCGCCCCTGGTCATGGTCATAATCATGCTCACGATCCTGACCTCGGCCACGACCTTGCGGCGCCGCCCTCGCCGCAATGGCCAGCCCCTCGACCCGTATCGCCTGCTGCACCTCCCGCAGCCGCGCCTGCAGCGTGGCGGCCCACTCAAGGGCCGGGTAGCCCGTTGGACAGGGCATGTCCAGCAGTCCCGGCCCCAGTCCCTGCCCCGCTGACGGCGAGGGCGGGATATGAAGATCCGGGTCGTCCTGTCGTCGCTGCGAGGCGCCCCGCGGGACGGCTGGGTCGGGGGAGAGCGTGGACTGGCCCATGCGGATCGGGACGAGGGAGAAAGAGCGGGAGAGGGCGCTGTGGCGGGTAGTTGTTTGAGCTTGAGCTGGAGCTGGAGGTGGGAAGGGTACTGCTGGTTCGTGACGGGAGCCGTGGCCGTGGCCGTGGCCTTGGCCGAGAGGAGAGGGTTGCTGTTGGTGGCCGGGGAATGCGCCTGGAACTGCGGCTGTTGGATGGAGATGTTAGTTGGTGCTTGGTACTTGCTGCCTTGATGCATGCTGTCTGACTGTATTGGCTGACTGGCTGAGAGATTGAGTGACTGAGTGACTGATGGGCTTTGCCAAATGGAAACAACCACGTCTTTCTGAAAAGGCATATATGCAAGGGAAACACCACACGACATACCGGCTGGGATTGCCCCACCTCGCACAAAAACCTCGCCATCACCAGAGACTTGCTGCTGCTGCTTCCACAGGCCGAGTGGGAGCTGGTCTAGATGCTGGCCCTGCTGTTGCATCTGCATCTGCATCTCCATCATCTCCATCTACTGCTGCCGGCCCTGCTGATGCTCCAGGAACAAGGCCTCCGTGGCCTCGAACTTGCTGTCGACGAAGCTGCTCGCCACATCGCTCAGATCGGTCGGCAACGCGCTGAGAGCGCTGTAGTCCGTCGTCGCCGTCGTCGTCGTCGCCACGGAAGCCGCAGCGCCCGTGGCCGAGAATGAAACAGAAGTACCTATGTGATGCACGAGAAGATCTCTGCACTTTTCCCTCCATTGTCTTCGCTTGGCATCATTGGGCCTCATAGTCTTCATCATTGGCACATAAGATAGAAGAGCGTAGGCAGATACAGCAGCAAGGGGGCAGGGGACTGTATTTATATTTGTAACTTAGATTTCTAATCACATAGTATCCTGCCCTATCAACAAAGGAGAACTCAATCTCCAACGCCGTGTCGAAAGACTATTCCAAGGTATTGACACCATAGATCAAACCTCTATAAACCTTAAGTACTAACTCCAATAGACACATGAGGCAAGTCTCTGAAACTGGTAATTTCTAGGACGAATGAGAACGATTGAACCGTATTTCTCTAGCACTAGATGACCCTTCAACACTCGGTTCCTCTCTATACACTCCATACACTCATTGAAGGAAGTTACAATCAGGCTAGATTCCGGCGAAAGCGGGGCGATCTGGATTGCCAGCACTGGTAATGGCGATGCAGTCCGTCCTAACCTCAGCTGTGTACTGGTACGTCGTGGCTATCCATTTTGTGGGATAGCCACGTTGTCCTAGGCCTGTTGGCGGATAGGCACATTAGCCCAGGACCACTGTTTACTATGACGGCCAATCTAGGACCAGTGTACTAGCTCTATAGTACTGAGCATACGAAAACCTATCCACAGAGGCAGATAGCTCAGCCCTTTGCTAGCCATTATGCTAGGTAGCCACTTTCGATAGAGCAGCAGTCTCTCAATAGCTCTATGTATCGACGGCTGAGACACCTAGAGACAGCGGGCACCACTAGCATGCCCAGGTTATAGAACATGTCTCATGGCAAAAGAGCGGTCAGGTCCCGGTTAAGTAAAAAGGAAGGATAAGTTATAAAACATGTCATTGCGCTCTCTTTCGAGACTTTTATTTTACTGTGTCGAGCGTCTCGCCACCTCTCCGTTTCCTTGCCTTCTCTCCTTTCTACGAGTCGTCTTTCCAGTTCCGGTCTCGTCTATCTATAGAACTCTTTTCGAAGTGCCGTGCCAAAGATGGTTCTGACAACCTTTTAAGCAGAGGCCTTAATAGGTCTCTGCTTGCAGGACTGACTTGATCTGATGGATTCTACCGTCCAGCACCCACCACTCGGACACCCCCACCAGTCGTACAGCAAAAAAACACACACAAAGGATAATTATAACTAGTTAGATCCTTAAAGTAATTTAAGTATCTATAATCAACTTACTAAATTACTAAAAGCTAAAAAGTTAAGCTTTTTCTATCTAGTATAACGATCCTTCCTATTAGTACATCGATAGGTAGCTTAAGGGTCCTTAGATTTATATCCTAAAATAGGTCGAAAGATACTTAAGCAATATTCACAAAGGTAGGTGATCATAACTGGTTAGATCCAGTTGATTATAAAATCAAACTATAGTATTAAAAGCTAAAAAGCCAATCTCCTCATCTATAAGCTTAGGATACTTAAGCATAGTCTTATATCACTTTATCACTATACATTTATACTATTTCTAGACTATCTATTTTGCAGTAATAATAATCTTGTCAGCCATGGCAGGAAGTGTGTCTGCAACAACGTCCATGTCTCCAAAAATTTCATGCATCGGATCAGACTCTAGAACAGTACAGTATGCGCCTCGAAAACTGGGTAACAGCATTAGTACTTTGCCTCGACGGTTTTTGAGAATTAGGTATCACCTACCCGACTGTCCGTGCCGTAGAGACATCCCACATATGCGCGGCAGCAAACCATGGCTTAGCACCACTGGCAGATAGTCGCTCTAATAGGGGCTTATAAGCCTCGGGTTGTGGCTTCGCTACACCTGTTGTGTCGCATGAAAGTAGATTTTCGGGTGGCATCTCGACCCCAGCGAGCTTGAAATACCCCCCCACACGCTGCAAATCCCCTGCTGTGAAACACCAAACTGTAAAGCCGGCGTCTCTCAGCTTATTCACGCACTCAGCGGCCCCAGGCCTCAATCCAAGACGCCGCCACTCTGTGGTTAGATACTGAACATCCTCAGGTGTTGCAAACTTGTGTGGTTCCGCGACTCCAGCATAAGAAAGCATGCGGTAGAAGAGGGCCTCAAAGACTTTGAAAAATGTTATGTACCGGCCTGATAGGCTGAGATACGTGTATTCGCGCTCTCCTGCCTCGAGCCAACAATGTCCCAGCAACTTAGCATTGATCCCAGCTTCTTTGAGTCGCTCTTGGCCAAAGCGTGTTTCAATGGCCTCAAACAGATGATCATAAGAGACAAGAGTGCCTACGACATCGAAGACCACGTTTTTGTCAGAAGCCATGTTGAAGATTGGTTCGTAGATACTGAAAGTCTCAAAGATGCTGTGAAGAGGTTCACAAAAAGTGGTTATGAGAATACGATGATGCCAGTACCTTAGTGACGTGATCGAAACACCTGACGTACCCAAATATCTGTAGACGCGAGAGAGACGATAAACAACATTCGATAGAGCACACGGTCAGCACCAAATGTCACCGAAATAGAGACCTAGATTCTTAAACTCGCAGATATAAACCTTGTGAAAAGAGCATTGGCATGACAAGGTTTGTCGGTGCCCAGGCGACTTCTCCCGTGTGCGGGGTGGCAAGTGGTGATAAGGAGAACCC